GGAAAATGCTTCCGGCATTGGTCCGGGTACAAGGCTTGGGCAGCAAAAGGAAGAGGAGACAAACGCAAAGGGAACAGAGTCTAAGAGCACAGAGCTGAGGACGAGAGCCCAGCCCTGGAAGGGGGAGTATGTGCCGCCATTCCTCCAACCACGGACGGACTCCTGGCAGGTGCACACGTCTCGGCTCAAGCAAGACGCAGCCATTCGATTTTAGAGTGGTCGGGCTCCACAGTGGTGGCCGACGTCCCCGGCCATCAGACGTGTGTCCAAACCACAGCGAGCCGGGCCTCTCAGCCCCGACCCCCACCCAGCCCCGCCAGAGCCTTCCCTCCCCCCTCCCCCCAGAACCCAAGCAGGCAGGGTCTGAGGACCGCCCTGGACACCCGGGGGCTGGGGCTCTGCCCTGACTCTCCTGGCTCAGGAATGTGCCGGATAAAAATACCCACGGGCAGATGTCATCAGACCCAGGCGGCCAGGCTGCAGCAGATCAAGCTGCGGCCGCGGCAGCGGAAAGAGATTGGGGGGGGGGGCAAGAAGGGCCTCCACGCCACCCAGGCCTGAATCCCCCGAAGTGCCAGTCAGCTCAGGCGGCACTGTCCCCCAGGCCCTGAAATGCCCAGGGACACAGAGAGGAGCGCACAGTTACACGGGCACAGCACCGGAGCCGGCGGCGGCATGGGGAGGGGGCTCCGAGCGCGGAGCTGGCCAGCTGGGGAAAAGCAGCATCGCTCTGCGGAGAGGGCCTCCTGGAGGAGGCGTTCCCTGTGCGGAGCCCACGCTGCCGCGCTGGGAACTGGGACTGTGGGCAGAGGAAGCAGCCGAACCGAGGGGCAGCACAGACAGCGCCTGGTGTGCCAGTCCCGGGCAGAGGCGGCCGGGCTGGTCGGTGCCCCCGCCTCGGGAAGCAGCTGGCTCCTCCTTCTAGAACAAGCAGCAGCCCAGACGCCCCGCTCCTCCGCAGGAAGATGCGGGGAGCCCACTGGGGGGGGGGGGGCGGGCTGTGCGGCGGCCGTGATGTCGGGGCAGGGAAGGAGCCCCAGCCTTGGCTCCCACGGCTGCCAGGCCTTGGACGGGGACCGGCCAGCCCGGGCCTGGCAGACACAGACGTGCCAGCCACGGCAGGCCCTCAGCAGAGGCCGTGGACCCCGCTCCCCCCCTCCCTGCGTCCCCTCCAACTTCGCCAAGCCCTGGGGGGGCTTCCACTGTCTCCTGAAATCTGGGCAGCTCACCCTCAGCAGGGAGGCAGCGATGGCTGCCGCTCGGAGGGGCAGAGCAGACCGTCCAGCCTCAGGCCCACAGGGGTGAGGCAGGGCCCTGGTGCCCGGGCTGCCCCTTGGAAGGCAGGCATGCCAGGGTCCGGCTCCGCCCTACAAGGCTCCTGGGCCTCAGCCTTGCTGGGCCTGGGCCTGGGGGCAGGCCCTCCGCCCACTGGGCCCCCACCTCCCGCTCCCCGCGAAGGCTGTCTGGTCATCTAACTGGTAACATGCCGAGGGGAGGCATGCCGTGTGGAGAACAGCACATCCCGACACGGGGCTGGGCATGAGGGGTCTCCCGAGAGCCCAGGCTCAGGAAGGAGTCCCAGAGGAAATCCGGGTTTATCCACACCCAGGCCCGGGACAGAGGAGGGAGCCGAGGGGACGGGAGAGCGATGAGGACCACTGAGGCGCCGTGGCCCCCTCGGCTCTCCACCCTCTCGGGGCCCTTCTGTAGGACAGAGGCCCAGGGCCCACCCTGGGCACTGGCACCGGGGCCCAGGCAGGTGGTGGCCAGTCCTGTGCCTGGCCTCTGCTCCTGGAAAGTGGGCAGACAGGCCTGGTAAACCTCCACATCCAGGTGCAAGACCCATCAATGATTAACACGCTGCATGGTGCCAAAGCCATGAGAACTGGGCATAGTCAGCCAGGCAGGCAGAGAGGGGGGCACAGGAGGGCCAGGCTGAGGTGGGGGGAGGGAGGCAGGAGGGCCAGGCTGTGGGGGACAGGAGGGCCAGGCTGTGGGGACAGGAGGGCCAGGCTGAGGGGGACAGGAGGGCCAGGCTGAGGGGGACAGGAGGGCCAGGCTGAGGGGGACAGGAGGGCCAGGCTGAGGGGGACAGGAGGGCCAGGCTGAGGGGGACAGGAGGGCCAGGCTGAGGGGGACAGGAGGGCCAGGCTGAGGGGGACAGGAGGGCCAGGCTGAGGGGGACAGGAGGGCCAGGCTGAGGGGGGGGAGGGCCAGGATGAGGGGGGGAGGGCCAGGCTGAGGGGGGGGAGGGCCAGGATGAGGGGGGGAGGGCCAGGCTGAGGGGGGGGGGAGGGCCAGGTTGTGGGGACAGGAGGGCCAGGCTGTGGGGACAGGAGGGCCAGGCTGAGGGGGGGAGGGAGGCAGGAGGGCCAGGCTGAGGGGGACAGGAGGGCCAGGCTGTGGGGGACAGGAGGGCCAGGCTGAGGGGGGGGGGGAGGGCCAGGATGAGGTGGGGGGAGGGCCAGGCTGTGGGGACAGGAGGGCCAGGCTGAGGTGGGGGGAGGGAAGCAGGAGGGCCAGGCTGTGGGGGACAGGAGGGCCAGGCTGAGGGGGGGAGAGGGAGGCAGGAGGGCCAGGCTGTGGGGGACAGGAGGGCCAGGCTGTGGGGACAGGAGGGCCAGGCTGAGGGGGGGGAGGGCCAGGCTGAGGGGGGGGAGGGCCAGGCTGAGGGGGGGAGGGCCAGGCTGAGGGGGGGGAGGGCCAGGCTGAGGGGACAGGAGGGCCAGGCTGAGGGGGGGAGGGCCAGGCTGAGGGGGGGAGGGCCAGGCTGAGGGGGGGAGGGCCAGGCTGAGGGGGGGGAGGGCCAGGCTGAGGGGGGGGGAGGACCAGGCTGAGGGGACAGGAGGGCCAGGCTGAGGGGACAGGAGGGCCAGGCTGAGGGGGGGGAGGGCCAGGCTGAGGGGGGTGAGGGCCAGGCTGAGGAGGGGGGGGAGGGCCAGGCTGAGGGGGGGGAGGGACAGGCTGAGGGGGGGAGGGACAGGCTGGGGGGGGGAGGGAGGCAGGAGGGCTGGGCTGCTAGGTTGGGTTTGAGAGCCGGGAGCTGGGCCCTCTCCCTCAAGTCCCTTTTCTCCGCCACAACCTGGATCCAGCCCAAGCATCTCAGCACACACACGGGTGCCAGCTGGATGTCCGTCCTTCACCCGGGCTAAGGCCAGTGACAAGGTCACTAGAGCCCTTAGGTCCAGCCAGGGGTTCCCTGAACCCCCGCACCCTCAAGTCTAGGATTAGAGCTGCCCTGTGGGGCTGCAAAGGATGCTGGCAGAGGGCTGAGGAGAGGGGCCAAGGCTGGGGCCGGAAGGGCAGAGCCCGGGTGCTGACCCTGCCCCCCCCAGCCAGGGACGCCGCACAGACACAGGAAAAGCCCGTCTCCTTGGACCAGAGCAGGGCTTCCCCGAGGGAGAACAGGATGTCCGGGTCTGCGTCCTCATGTCCAACTCTCACCTCCAGCCCCTGGTGTGCACATGCGTGTATGCACACGCACACACACACACAGGCCCAGATTCCATCGGACTTTGTGTCTCACCACATCTCACCTGTGACTTCTGAGAGCAGTGGGGCAGCGCTGTCCCCAGGCCTGCCTCCCCCCCCCCCCCCCCCCCCCGCCCACAAGGCCGCGGCTGGGCTGGAGTCTCTCAGCAGATCCCACCCACAGGCCAAGTGTCTCAACCAGAGACTGGTTTGTGGGTCACGTGTTGTCACGGGGTAGACCTCTTCCCAAGCCCCAGGTAAACTGCACATTCCACATGGCCCCGGTCCATCTGCACCCCCAAACCCACAGCGGGGATATTCCTGACGACGTCTCATGCATGCCACCCCTACAGCGGGGCAGAGCTCAGAGCTGGGCAGACTGGGGAGGCAGCCCTGGCACCAGCACCGTTCCACACCAGAGGGGCCCAGGATGCCACTCCTAGAAGCCGCCCAGGCCCTGCGGCTCCCAGCTGCCCCGGAGGCTGGGCAAACTTCCGAGGGCTGAACAATCCCATTCAGGAAGAGAGCAGTGTAAGCAGGGACTTCCTCCGGGGCGGGGCGCGGCGAGCCCTCTTCCTCGCCGGCCACCCCGGCCGCCGGCCGGCCAGGGGCTTTGGTGACTGACCGCCGTCTGCACCTCCAGGAGGTCCTCACCAGGCGGACGGGCTCCTGGGCAGAGGTAGCAGACAGGACGCAGCTGGTGGCCGGCCATGCCCCCATCCGTGCGCCTCAGGAAGAAGGTTTGGCACAGTGGCAATCGCACTGCCGTCTGAGGCCTTGGGAGACCCCTCGGGGTCAGTGCACCCAAGACCCTAAACCCTGAGAACACCCGGTGCTGGGTGGCCACAGGTAGGGCCCCTCTCTCCCCGTCCCCCAGAGACCCAGACCCAGGAGGAGCAGGGCCAGCTGCAGTGCTGGGGGGAGAACAGGACGAAAGCCATGGTCAGCTGGGGGGGGGGGGGCGTGCCCGAGCCTTGTGCTTCCTGCCTCCATCCACAACGCAAAAGGAGGGAGATCACCTGCCCTGCTGCGGCCTGGGGCCACTGACGCGTCCCTGCTGCGGCCTGGGGCCACTGACGCGTCCCTCGGACGAGGGCTACGCTCAGGGGAAGCAACAGGGAGGCCACCCCACTCCACCCCCGAAACAACCCACCAAGGGGTCCTCCAAATCAGATCTGGCAAGTTACCGAGGCGCGGCCTCCCCGGAGGCTTCCTGTGCTCAGGCCCTCCAGCAGTGCAGAGCCGGGCGCGGCTGCGGTGTGCGCGCTGAATGGGGGCCACCTGATCGGCCGCAGCGCCAGGTGCAGCGCGGCCTGGCCCCGCTGTGTGCAGGAGCCGCAGCTGCTCCCGGGAGGCCCGCGAGCCGGACCCGAACCCGCCCCAGCTGCGTCCACCTGCCGGCCCCGGCCCCCGCCCCGCGCCCCGGGGACAGCGGGGTCCCGGCGTGCGCGCCCCCAGGCCCGCCCCGGGGAAGGCATCGCGCGGGGACCCAGCGCCCCGCGCCCCCCGCCGGCGACCCCGACACTCACACGGCGAAGTGGTAGACGAAGCACCTCCAGCCGGTGGGGCGCTCCAGGAAGTTGTAGACGCGGCCCTGGACGTGCGTGCGCGCGAGCAGCGGGCGGCGCGCGCTGTAGATGGAGACGCGCGGGTCGAGGCTCACGGGCGGCCGCGGGCCGGGGTCCGGGGCGCGGGGCGCGGCGGGGGGCGCGGCGGGGGGCGCCGGCCCCGAGCCGCCCGGGGCCGCCACGGGCGCGTAGAGCGCGCCGCCGCCCGCGGGGCCGCCCTCCGCCAGCTCCAGCGAGAACGGGCACTTCTTGGCCGGGCCCGCGCTGCCCCGCCGGGCGCCCAGCAGGCGGCCCCAGCCCCCGCGCTTCCTCTCGGCCCTGGGCGGGGAGGAGGCCGCGGCCATGGCGAGGAGGCAGGCCCGGGACCGGACGGGCGGCGGTGCCGACACCCCGACACCCGGAGCTGTGGCCGAGGCGGGCGCCGGGCACGGCTTGGCGGGGACGCGGCCCGCCCTTCCCGGGGGCGGGGCGGGGCCTGACGGGGCGGCCCCCTGGGGCCCGCGGGGCCCGCCCCGCGCCCCGCCCCGGCGCCCAGGTCCGAGCCCACCTGTGGGCGCGCGCCCCAAGCCACCTGCTCCGCCCCGCCCTGCGCCCCTCTCCCTTCCGCCCCGCCTGCCGTCCGCGCCCCGTTGCCTGCCCGAAGCCCACCCCGGCTGCGGCTGAGTCCCCCTACCACACTAGGGAGCAAGGCCCGAGGCCGACAGGTGCGGCCCGTGCTGGAGGGGCCCAGCCTGCTGGCGCGCGGCACCCACTTTTCTTCCCTCTGAGCCACCCTGGAAAGGGGCTGAGAGGCAAGGAGGACAGAGGGGCGCCGCCGGGACGCGGGGAGCACCCCCTGGGTCCCGGATTTGCTGGGAGGTGGGGCCGGGTCCGCTCCAGGGCCGTTCGTGGGAAAGCTGTGACGGGGGGAGGGCGCGCGGGACCGGGACGCAGCTCCTGTCCGCAGCCTCCAACCTGGCGGGCCTGCTTCACAGGGGTGAATGACAGCGGAGCAGGAAGGTCTGGGCAGCTCCCCTGAGCTCTGTGCCTCAGCCGGCGGGGGACAGCAGACGGAAAAGACCCCCCCTTCACTACCCACCACACCCCAAAGGAACCGCGCATCTGCACCTCCATAGCCAAGGGGACCCTGGGCTCCCACATGCGGGTTAAGAGGAAGCCACGCAGGTTCTGTAAGGAAGGGGGGATCCCCAAGAAACAGTAGGAAAAGAAACCAGAGAAACACTGTGGGGAGAGTAAACGGTAAGTAACAAATGCAAGAGCAAAGGCCCTGTCACCCATACACAAAGCCCCGTAAACCCAGGTGAAGAACAGGACAGAGAAACCCTGGTGAAAGTAGACAGAAGACATGAACAGTGCATGGGGAAAGAGGTCTGTGGCCTTTGCCAGTTAAGGGCGGTGGGGAGAAAAGCCCAGGCTCCTCACAACAAGAAAAATGCAAATGAAAAGTACAGGCTGATACCATTGCTCTCCTATCTGATTGGCAGCAGCCCAGCGTCCGACGGCACAATCGGTGGGAGAGGCAGGGTGGCAGGCGCTTGCCTCGTCACCACGGGAAGGGAATTCTGGCAATATTAGCAAAAGCGCATGTGCCCTTTGACCTGGAAATCCCACTGCCAGGAACTAACCCCAAGATGCCAGAGGAAAGTAGAAAATGACATGTAGGTTTGTGAATTGCAGTGGTTACATATTAGCAAGAACTGAGTGCTAGCACCTCATGCCTGCGATCTTAGCTAGTCAGGAGGCTGAGATCTGAAGGTCACAGTTCAAAGTTAGCCTGGGCAGGAAATCCATGAGACTCTTACCTCCAATTAACTGAAAAGCGAACAAACAGAAACAAATGGAGCTATGGCTCAAGTGATAGAGCACCAGCCTTAAGAAAAGAGGGAGGGAGAGAGAGAGAGAGAGAGAGAGGCTCTGAACTAAAGCCCCAGTACTGGCACCTAAAATAAATACATACATTAGCAAGTCACAGAACGGCCACCATGGACTTCAAGCGGCTGAATTATGCCACGGTTCAGCCATGAACCCTAGAGTCCCACAACAAATAGCGTTTAATCAGCTCTAGAAGGCTTAAGACACCCAAGCCAATGTCAATGTCATGCACATTGCTGCTGTACTCTGTGGTTTAAGGAGGGATGACGTGAAGAAAGCCCTGTGCTCCATACAAACGCAATTTGGTTTTCAAAAAGCCTTTCCATCTGGGGTTAGCTGAGTTTGCAGAGGCAGAACTACAACCGCAGGAGGCTGGCTGTGCCGTTCATTTGAAATCATATCTGTCTGTATCAATCTAATGTCATGTGAACTTCCTTAGGAACCAAAAGGTTCGCTGGAAGAGATAAAAGACACAAAGGCCAACACAGAAGAATCACAAACCGACCCTTTGATTTGCCTTGGAACTGCTCATGTAAACGCCTCCATGGATTTGTCCTAAGACGATTTCATAACTGTCCACTGAAAGCCTTTCGAAGGGACGATTCAGTAGCAGCACAATGTCAGGAAGAATTGTGGTCACAACACCGCAGATGCCTTCAGAACCCACCTGGTGGGGCAGGCCCTCCCTGCCCTTGGTTGGCTCCTGGACTCTTTATTCTGGACTTTTGGAGGTGGGCAGAATCGAGGGTAGCCCGCCTCCACCCCGTGTGAACTCAGGGTGAGGGAGCCTGGCAGGGGTGCACGTGGTGCGAAGGACCGTGGGTAGTGTTCAGGCTGTAGGGAAACGCTTGGAAATGCTAGGCAGGGAGGAGGGGGAGGGAGGCAGGGCGGAGGGGGAGGGAGCCAGGTGGAGCTGACACAAAACAGCTTTGAAACCGGGAATTGTTCGAGCCGGTGGTGAATGCGCTCATTATACTGAGCTCTTCACGTTTGTGTACATTTCCATCTTTTAAAAAAACTATACCAGTCGCTGCCCGAGCAGTGGGCGGCTCTTGGCGGGGCTGGGCTGCCCTGGACAGCTGGGAGAACTCTGGGAGACCGTCCTGAGCCATGCCGGCCTTGGCTCTGGGGGACACTGGAAAGGGGGTGCCGTGAGCTCCCTGCCATTCTGAGGGGTCAGAGAAAGGAATGGGGGCCTGGGAAGGGGTGAGCAGAGAGGAAGGAGAGAGGGCAGGTGGGCAGAAGAGGCTGCGGCTGGGCTGGACAGGGCTGGCCACGGGGGAGGGGGAGGTAGAAGGGGGGAGGAATGGGGCAGGGAATCCCAGGAGACCTGCTGGTGGGTGGGCAGCAGGGTCTGACCCAGCCCACAGCCATTGGCTCATTCCCCCCAATCCCTGCTGAACCCTGCTGCTGTTCTGTGCACCGGCCATACAGCCATGGGGGAGGCCGCCGGGGAGAGGTGAGCTCTGGCGGGCAGGAGAGACCAGTGCAGCGACCCCGGAGGCACGGGCTGCCAAGGGCTGCCTGGCCTCTGTCTCCGGGTCCTCCCGGCCGCAACAGCAGAAGCAGACGCTGCCGCAGGCTCTCAGTCCACAGGCAGCTCCGCTCCTGAGCCCTTCACTCGGCCCCACCCCAGCGGCAGGGCCGGGGGGGGGGGGACCCAGGGCAGAACCCCCCGCACACCCCACAGCAGGAGGCAGAAGGGTCCAGAGCCAAACTCTGATGAGGCCTCTTCCTTCCTGAGGGGGCTCCGAGGGTCCCCAAGGGCGGCTACCCCAACAGGACAGAGGCAAAGCAGGGCCCGCCAGCCCTCAGCCCTGACACCCCTCCAGCCCCACTGTGAGCCACGCTGAGCTCCACTATGTCCTGCTCAGCACGACACCCCATAAGTACATCCTTTCATGCCCAGGAAGCTGGCCGCCTGCTGACCTCGGTGATCAGGATGCTCCTCCCTGCCACAGGGCGGAGAGACAGAGCTAGACAGGAGGAGAGGAGAGGACAGAGGACAGGGCAGAGGACAGGACAGAGGACAGGACAGAGGACAGGACAGAAGATAGGACAGAGGACAGAGCAGGACAGAGGACAGGACAGAGGACAGGACAGAGCAGGACAGAGGACAGGACAGGGGACAGGACAGAGGACAGGACAGAGGACAGAGCAGGACAGAGGACAGGACAGAGGACAGAAGAGGACAGAAGACAGGACAGAGGACAGGACAGAGGACAGAAGAGGACAGAGGACAGGACAGAGGACAGGACAGAGCAGGACAGAGGACAGGACAGAGGACAGGACAGAGGACAGGACAGAGGACAGAGCAGGACAGAGGACAGAAGAGGACAGAACAGAGGACAGGAGAGGACAAGACAGAGGACAGGGCAGGGCGGGCAGGAAGGGACATGGCAGGGCGGGAGGGGGCAGGGCAGGAGACGGGATGCTGGCTCTTACCAGCCCCCACTCACAGCTCTGTGCCCTACCTCTCCGCTTCCAAACTGGGAAACAGCCCAGAAGGATGAGATTTGAGTGTGTGTGAGTGTGTGTGTGTGTGTGTGTGTGTCCCATGCATGTTTTGTGACCACAAAGAGCCTAGGGATTTCCCTCTCCCTGTTCCTAAAAAACCCTGTTGTGAAGTTGGCAGTGTGGCTCAAGTGGCAGAGCACTCGCCCAGCAAGCACAGGGCTTTGAGGTCCAAGCCCAAAGGAAGGGACCGGCGGAGAGCCTGGCGGCAGCAGGGCAGGCTGGGACGGTGGTTCGGACCAGCAGGCCGCGCGGTGGCGGGGAGTGCCCGGGAGGTCACGGCTGCACCCCAGCTAGCCTGCCCTCCCACGGGGCTGCGCAGCCAGGCCCTCCCGGCAGATTCACACACCCACGCGCCCGCAGCAGCCCGCGGGAGCGGGCCCTCTGATATCACCGTGTGGACTCATACCCACGCCCCACCGTGACCAAGAACCTTCCAGACATTTCTCTGGGGTCAGTGTCAGTTCTAATTGCGGGGAAGGTTGGCCCCACGCGGGGGCTGTGGACCTGGGCTGTGTGCCTTGTGGCCGCGGTCAGCTTCGGAAAGCTCTCCGTGGGCCCCTCCAGTGGCCGCTGTCTGCCTCTCCAGTTCCCAGTGGGTGTGTTGGGGATCCCCCCCCGGGCCACTGGGCCTCCCCCGGCCCCCTCCCTGGGCAGTGGCCTCCCAGAGGGGAGGGTGGGGGACCTGCCCCCCAATGTCACGGCTCCAGTACAGTTTCTGGCAGTGATCCCCAAGGCCGGGACCCGGGAGTAGACTTGAAGAGGTGGTTGAGCAAGTCTTCCCCAGGGCTGGCACAAGGGGCAGGGGACGGAGGAGAAGGAGGAGAGGATGACTGGGCCGCCCGTGGCGTCCTGGGCCCGCTGAGTTGTTGCCTGGGTGGGCTGCCGCGCGGGGGAGGCCCGAGGCACTGAGCAGAGACCTGACCTCAGGAGACAGCGATGCTAGTGGGACACGCTCACCGAGCAGAGGCGGCAAGACAGGCACATGCCATGGGTGCCCC